TCTTCCAAAAAATCCAGAAGAAACTATCATAAATTATTTTCAGATATGAAAAATCGAGTTATAAAAACCTCGATATAAATTAGCTAATAACTAAATCTAAAATAAGTGAAAGTATTGAAATAATAGAAAATATTGAAATAAGCGAAAGTATTTGAATTAAGCAAAAATTCATCACAAACACACATAGTCACCAAAGTACTATACATACATATACACATATATATATATATATAGTAGTGTAAGTTATAAAAAGAAAAGAAGATTAACTACACGTCTTGGCAATAGTTTAGATGTGTGTATCATCCAGATCTCATTTGGTATTTTCCTTCTGGATTAGAAGGAGTTAAAATAATTCGGAAATAATTCTAACATTTTAGTGAACTTTCGTAACATAAAACGATTGTAGGATTTGTAACAAGAAGTAAATTTTAATTTTAAAAATGAGTTTAAAAAGAAGTAAATATGATTTTTTGTGAAGATTATACATTTAATAAAATGAAAGGTAATGTTTTAGATAGGGATGTCAAAATGAGCTAACTCAGCTCATCTCATAGGGAGCTCGGGTCTTTCATGAGTAGTTTAGCTCAGCTCATTTATTATATGAGCTTCAATATGAAAACTCGAACTCAGATCATCTAGATCATGAGTTAAATGAGCTAACTCGCGATCAGACATAAAAAATAAAAATTATAAAAAATTTAGAATATTTTTATAATACAATTTAAATTTAAAAATCCAAAGCGTTAATATTAAATATGAATAAAACCAATACCTAATAATATATTAATAAAATCTGATTCAGTGATCCAAAAATATAGTATACATAAGAGTCTTGTGATGATTTATATTCAAACTCTTTATATATTCAAATAGTAAAAATATATATTCCGCATGAAAGTCGTTAGAATATTTAGTTTCATATTTAGTTCTAAGGATATATGATATGAGGATTTATATAAATATTATTTTACATTTCTATATATATTTATTATTTTGGGTTTTACATTTTAATTTTATAAAATAAATATGATTAATATAGAAACTATTTTCCGCATGAAAGTCTTTGGAATATTTAGTTTCATATTTAGTTCTAAGGATATATGATATGAGGATTTATATAAATATTATTTTACACACATATATATATATATATTACTTTTGGGTTTTACATTTTAATTTTATAAAATAAATATGATTAATATAGAAATTATTTTTTCTTACATAAGAAAGATAGAAATCATCCATATATACATGAAGTTTAAGACGATTCATGAGTTAGATGATGTTCATTAAAGATCGTTTGTATAACTCAGTATCTAATTTAAGCTCAGATTATTAAATACATTTATTAAATAAGTCTAAAAAATAGAGATCATGTTCACTAAAAATTTAGCTGAGCTAGTTCATGATCAGCTATAACTCATTTTGACACCTCAAATTTTAGACAATCTTTGAAGTTATTGAATAACCCTAGACCTTAAAAGACAAAAAAAAATTAGTTTTTACTTTCTGTTTGTTGGGTAATTCCAAGCTTGTGGAAACTTAACATATTATTGGATGTTTAATATGTTAAGGATAAACACAATAAGGAAATCTAGAAATAGGAAAAGGAAGTTTTCTATTAGATTAGTTTGTGTTTTCCATATCCCACATGTTCAAGGGAATTATCTTGCATATAAATAGAGATCTATGGAGAGGTGTTCCAGAAGATC